TTTCATATCAATCGTTGAATTGGTAGACGATTGTTTAAAGATTACAAATATAGCTTCAGACTTATATGCAACAATAAAGATAATAGGAACTTTCGCGTGATCACAGCTTCCTCTTCATTTGATTTCAAGGATAAGAATAATCTACCTCATATTAGATATCCTACCAATTTCCGCATATGTTCTTTTAAAATTTCTTTTATGGACTGTTGTATAGGCAATTGCTCAGACATTAAGCAAGGATTGCAGACGGCAATGTAAATGAAAGAAATAAAAGTCCAAAAAGGGAGATTCACACACATAGGCCTTGTCCGATTAGTCCTCTCATCACTGCCTTATGATATGAAGGGATATTGTGTAAATAGTTCTGGTTTTATTTTGTAAAACATTGTCTGAAAGTCTCAACACACCATTTAGAAATGTTAAGTATGCTGTATATAAATGCATATATATATATATATCCGTACGTAAATGATTTCGGAGGTTTGTTCTGGCATAATTTAATAAAATAATTTACATTTTAGCTTCTCATAATGCAGTAAAGCCCTTCATTGATCTTCTCTCTTGTTAATCTGTATATTTTATTCGTGCTTGCCTAGTAAATATATAAACATTATGTAATTTTATGCTATATTGACAATCTAACGCAGTAGCTAAAAACCGCCCAATTCGGCCTCTGCACAATTCTGACCTGCGTTGGCAAATATTGACAGGTAAATTTTCTATTCTAGTTATTTCGTCTCAATTAAAAAAAACCTTGTTTCAGAAATGAGAAAGGTTGCATGGCAGCAAGTTAAATAGAAAGCTGTGATCACTTTAGTGCACAGCGGCCTCACCAGTTTCGTAGCAGCCTAGCCAAGGCCCATTACAGAGATGGTGCCGCCAAGGGTTGATTTTGTGAGGGTCCCTTAACGATAAGCTATTCGGGTGGCCGGCATCAGTGAACACACGAAGTACCCCAGCAGTTCGTAATCTCGCTGGCAAATGGCTGGATGCCGTCGACCTGTTGTGCCCGGCAGCTGCTCCTGCTAGACCTGACCCCTCAGTTGCTTGCCCACCTCCAGTTCCAGTCCTGACGCAAGCCCCACCAAGACCACCGGCAATAGTTCCAACACCAGCAAGACGGGAACCAAGACCGGGTGGGTTACCTCCACTTGTCAGCCCCGGGCCAACGGAAGCTGGTTGGCCGTCGGGGACGGGCTGAACTGGTACACGGCCGGGTGCCTGGTGCCACATAAAAAAAGTCATAATCTTGAGTATGCAAATAAGATAAGATCGCACGATTTTTGTAATGGGCTAGAAAACAATGTGATGCGTTTAGCATTGCATACTCAGAGAGTAAATTGCATGCCTTTAAATACCTGGTTTGGCATGCGCTGGGTCTGGTGTGTTACTCTAGTCTCTGGAGCACCTGGCCTTTTAGCAGCCAGCTGAGCAGAGGTGCGCTGAAATCCGGCTCCAAGTGGTGCTCCATTCAAGTCATTTGTGAGAGCAATCCTGCTATTTTGAGTTTGTTGGTGCTGTTGTCCGGGAGCCGCGACCTCGTTAACTGTTGGCAGTAGGCCTGCAGCAGGAGGATGCTGAGGTTGATTATGAGTACGCGGATAGTGCTGGTTAGAGTGATGGTGATGACCAGTCCCGGATGCAGCACCTACATTTGTTAATGGATGGTGGGCTGCTGCTGCTGCGGGTGCAGCAGCAGCAGGAGCAGGCGTAACGGACGTGGTGAAGTCCTTTTTGCTTTCTAACAGCACCCATTGGAGCAATGGATCGTGGATGAAAGCCTCGAGAACAGCCAACAGACTTTCGCGGTTGCTACGCATCAACGAGATGACCAGCTCACATGTGTACCGAAATACACCGTCAATTCCGGTCACCTGAGAAAATGTAACGAAGCATAAAAATAGATATAATTAATTACGCCTATGGAAATAGATATATGACTAAACATCTTAATCAAAAGTTCTAAATTGAGAAGAATAATGAATAAGAAGCTGTTTAACTGCTATATTGAAAAATGGCAGTTTTAACTGATAGAATAAGGAGGGCGCATGGAATTCGAAAATAAGAAAAAATGAGAGCCAAGAAGAAAGAGCTAAGTTGAAGAATGAGGTCGTGGGTAGATATAGGAAGATCACGGTTATCGAATTGCATGCAAGAGCGATTACAGGGGAAAACTATCCTCTTAAAAATACTTTTTTCGCATTTAAGCAGAATTTCGAGACTACCACTAAATCAGTAATATGAGATGTATTCACCCAATTTTGTTTAAGGTGATGAAGGACTGGTAGTGGAATTTTACTATAATGATATGAGTAAAGCTGAAGTTTCCATTGAATTTTACATAGCCTTGTTTTCCCAAAAGTTGTTCTCATCCAGAGTGGACTGCAGATTCAACCTCGCATTGGTCTTATCACCACCCACAGCGAAAGTAGAACCGTGACAGTGCAGGATGGGAACTTGACACGTTAACCACTCGGCCACATTGCCACGAGTGGGCTTGGGTCACAGGGCAAAAGTGAATTTCAAGAGAGGCCAAGCCTCTTGCCAAATCATATTTTTTAATGGGGTTTTCGATGAAGCAAACGTATATTTGCTATAAAAATCGACTATGTTACTCCTGCTGAAAATAAAGTAATCACAGCTCTTTCATGGGGGGGACCTAGCGGATCATGCATATCAACTGCAAATCCACGCTGCAGTAGCCTAAGCTTCTTTATTCTGGTTAAAGCTAAGAGAAAAAATCCGATCTTGTGTTTAAAATGCGGGCATAGAGATGAACTAATATATTGTTCCATCACTGAATTAAAATTACAAAATATCTAAACACTGTAAAGTTCTGGTTTTGTAAGAGGCCTTATGGAAAAATTTCAATAAAATTTTGGTAAGAATACAATTGAGTGATTCTTTATACAGGTGCCCAGTTCTATATTGCTGCTCGCAAGAAACTTCGTGAGTGCGAACCATAGCCTAAGTATTTTATCCATTCCAAGAATTGACTCACTTCCATAGCATTGACAATCATGCGCGTCAAACGGAAGGGCACCTTCTCGGGGAACCGCTCACGCAGCATGGCCACCTCAAAGCAGTCGCCAAAATCGATGTGAATCACCTTGCCTGTCTCACGGCAAAGCATAATGTTTGAGGGATGTCTTGAGAGGTATAACAGAGAAGAGCGAGGAAGGACAGTGTAGAATAGGAGTTAAAGAAAGTAATTGATGTCGATGTTAGACAGATGCGGGAAGTCAAATTGAAAGCGAAGTCTAAATAAGGCATAAGACTCCAGAGTAGAGGAACCTCGAAGGTATGAATAAGCATATGCTGGGCAAAATAATTTTTAAGAATACTAAGATTTATAAATACAAATTCACATTGATCTTAAATTTTTAAAAATGCAATTATAAAAAAAGCAGATACAGATAAAACCAATAACAAATCACACTGCAAGGTATTGGGAAACCAGAAGTCCAACTTACGTATTTACTAAGGTGGCAACAAAAATCCTTAAAAAATGTTATTAAGAACTCTGTGAGCAAGTTAAGGGCCTGTAAACAAACACAAATGCGGAGTAACATAAGTAAATATTTTAAATCCTAAAGTTCATATAAAGGATGATGATGAAAAGCGAAAGGCCATTTAGAGGATGGCTAGCTCTGAGAGCGTTCACGTTACCAAAAGTAAAGCTAAGCGAAAGTTCGTTGAATTTGTTTACGGAGTTCTGGGGACCAAGGTGTAAATAAGTATTGCTAGCTGCGAGATAGAAGAAGTGATTACTTTTTAGTGTTACAGGTGAATAAATTGCCTCCTCTCTTATGTTGCAAGAAATAATTATCATAAGTAATAGTTACCTCTCGAAAAAGTCTTTTAACCCTATTTTTTTCAAAATAATGAATAAAGACAAAGATAGTGTGTCTCTAGGTTTGCTTGCAGTTTCCTCTAGCTCTAACGAATTGA